AAAGCTGCGACTTCGGATTTACTCGGTTCTCTGCGGCTCTTTTGTCACGGTTTAGATGCTCACACTATGGGAGCAGCGGGATGCCACTCCTAACACATTTTATCGATATGATAATCAGCAAAGCATATCTTGGCTTTGCTCATTTGACGGTGCCTGTTAACTACACTTTCCCTCGGCGTTTGAATGAATCACATTGAACGACATAATTGGGTTTCTTTCTCCGGCTAAATGAATGACTACCCGGTTGTGCAAGAAAACATGTTTTTCTTTAGGTTAGTTAACAAATGTTTGTGCTTCATCTTTTGGCACTATCTTCCATTAGGGTGATTCTTATTGCTGCTCCTCTGTGATGATGCTTGTTTGAGTTGAAGTATGATATATCAATTCGGCATGGCTTTTGAGATTGAATAGACCCATCGGTAACCAAACCGTGCTCCATGCATATTGGCCAAAAAAAGAAGACTATATTATGATTGATTCTACATGCATATTGGCCAAAAAAAGAAGACTATATTATGATTGATTCTACATGCATATTGGACAAAAAAAGATGACTATATTATGATTGATTCTTCGCAATATGTGGCCTGATGCTCATGAGATGCACTGCTTTGGTAATAAGTTAGAGTTTTTCTCTTTTCGATGTTGGCCGTGTGCGGTCATTCTAAAATCAATTCGATAAGGAAAATGAACCGAAGTAGGAAAATAATTGCTCCATAAAAATGCAATTCTCAATTGATAGTGCCTATTAGCAACGGTGTTCAATGTATGTAATGTACCCTCATACTCCGCTTCAGTTTTATGCAAATCAGTTCCAAAAATCCACCGCGTTTGTAATACAACCATCAAACTTACCCTAGTTAGTTAATCTTTGAAAAGGAACACTTGTGTTCCCTGCGAAATTTTAAAATGAAAGGAATTATCCTAAACTTTGAAAGATCGGGATGTGATTTTAATTCATCATCTATATAGGGCTCGAACAAGAGTTGAATTTTGAAATGCTACGGAAAAAGAGAGAAAACGTGAAAAGACTGCTTGAAAACATGTAGGTTGACGGGCTTAGTCCAATTGCTCCGTAGCTTGGCCCATCAATTGATCGCAATGCAAAAGAGGCGGTCACACATTCACTCTCCGTCGTCGTCTCCACAACCCACCTCGGACCTCCCAGACTCATCGTCCGAGCAGCAATGCCACTTCCGGCACACCACCCGCACCTACAACCGCATGATCGACATTTTGGGTAACTTGTTCGAATTGGACCTCTCTTGGAGCTTGATTAACTGAATGCGAGATGACCCGCTCTCATTCCCCGACCATGTCACGTTCCAGATCATGTTCAAGTGGTACGTGAGTGCCCATCTGCTCGATGAATCCACCAGTGCGTACCGTAGGCTCGATAAGTTTGGTCTGAAGGACGAGACGGGTTATTACATTTTCGTCCACGCGTTGTGTGAGTACAAGCATGTGATGGAAGCTCACGAACTCTGTTTCAGGAACGACAAGAAGGCTGATTTGGGTTTTCATCACCGAACCCTTAGACCTAAATATCATAATATTTATTTTTAATTTCGAGAGCCAGACCTAAATATTATAATGATATGTCATGTCGGACGGCTAACGATGACGGGATGGCCACGTTTGCGATTTCTGGGGAAAAGTGGCCTAAAAGATTGAATTGGAATTTTGGAAATAAAGTTCGAACTAAATTGGTAAAATATGAAAGTTTAGGATCGAATTGGTATCCGTATAATAAGTCCATGACTAATTAGGTAATTTTCCTTGATATATCTACGTACTTGATGAATTTACCAGAAAGATGAACTAATAATGTCCAAGTTGAAGCCTTATTTTATGCATATTCAATTGACTGATCGATGAGCTTTAATCATGCACAAAGCAATGCTAATTTTCCTAGAAATTTGGATATTCACAAACTAGGTAGACAGATTCTAAGTTCATACGAACGAAACATGAATGGAAGCCTCTATCAGAACCGGTCACACCAATCTACACAAAAGAACAAAGAATAAAAAAGGCAATCATGTCAGTAAAGAATCAAAAGAACAATCATGGTAACAAACTGTAGTGTCACATACATTAGACTTAACAATCACATGTACTTTGGCACCATCGATCAATTGCACTATTAAATAACATTGACTCTCACTTGTATCGGCAAAACTTACTATCGTGTTTTAGAGATCATGCTCGTTGTATCCCTATGCACTATAACTTTCTCACAATCTTTTGCAATCTTTCAATACTTTGTAATCTATCAATCATTTATATTATATTCAATCACGTTATTTATATTTGACATTGTTTAGTTTGATTTATATTTATATTTCTATATACATACCTGTTTTCGTGTTGTTTCTATATATATATATATATATATTATTGTAAACCTGCACACGTTGCATGTTTTGTAATGTATGTTTTGTAATTTTCGGCAAGTGAATTGTTTTGGATCGTTTTATGTTTTTTTTGCCCTCCTTGGCTGTATCTAGAAACTTCTCTTCTAAGCAAAAGACATTTCGGGTGAGAGAACGGTGGCTCAAATTGCAAATTCAAGCACAAATTCTATTGATCACCTACGGAAATCACATAAGGAAATTCTATTTAGTCTCTTGACCCTTCGAGGATGGTGCCACGTCTCCGCAACAATATCCCTACTACTCTCAGGGAGCCGTTTTGGCCCAAGACCTCCTCTACTATTACAGCAAACACTAGAAACTCAAGTAATTTTAGTATCTTCAGTTTCCTGTGACACTACAATTTTAGTATCTTCAGTTTACCACCCGCCTGGGTGGCGCTGCTGGAGCGCGCACTCTTCCTCTCGCAAAAGGTTGAGTGTTCGAATCCCGGATGCCGCAGGGTGACTTAACCGGTGCACGTGTGTGGTGGCTAGCACGTGTCGCCCCCAGGGTTTACCTCCCGGCTATCGGCCGTGCGGGGTTCCCTGGGTCATCAAAAAAAAAAAAAAAAAAAAACCTGCCAGCAGACATGCCCCGAACCCAATCTAAAATACCACATCTTCTGTTCAAATTGTTAGCAACAGGAGTAGGATGAGGAGGCGCTTCAGCAGCATTAGGGGGAACCCTAGCCCCAGCATTACCTGCACCTGCCGTGCCGTTTGTCACCAGCCCAAACCAATTGAAAATACTCCATCTTCTGTTAAAATTGTCAGCAGCAGGCGAAGAAGGCCCTCCGGATGCAGCGCCGCCAGTATTCGGCTCCACATCCCTAGCCTCACATCCCTAGCCTCATTGTCACTTGCTGCACCCGCCATGCCATTGATCACGGCCGAAACCCAATTGAAAATACCCCATCTTCGGTTAAAATTATTAGCAGCAGGAGCAGAAAAAGCATGTGGCGGGCCAGATGGCCCCCTAGCCACGGTGTCGGCCCCTCCCGCCATGCCCTCAGTCAACGCCCAAAACCAATCGAAAATACCCCATCTTCGTAAGCGACTATAATTTATGTGTAAATATTTTCATGGATGATAATTCTTTCATATTCGTAAGCGAAATAATCGATCATTTTAAAGAAAATATTTTCGAAATCGTTCGTATTCCACGAATCAGACGGATGGTCAATTAAATTGTATTTTACCAAAATTACGAATTATAAAATCCCGACAGGAGATCCACCTGGGACGCCACGTCACACCCCCCATCCCACATAGGCATGGCCACTATTTGGAACATGCCGGTTCCGGTTCCGGTTCCGGTTCGTGGCCATGTGAGAACCGGCCGGTTCCGGTTCGTGGCCATGTGAGAACCGGCTGGTTCCGGTTCGTAATTTAAAAATTAAAAAAATAAATTATGAAATAAAAAAATAATGAATTATAAAATTATGAAATAATGAATTATTCAATATAAATTGTAATCAAAATGTAAATTGTAGGGGTGATTGGTTCCCGGTTCGGTCCGGTTCCGCTTGGAATCGAGAACAGAACCGGTAAGACCGGTCCCTTAATTTTAGAACTAGAAACCGGACCGGCAAATCATAGAATCGAGAACCGGACCATTGGCCCGGTTCGGTTCTAGGCGGTCCAATGGAACCCTTTGCTCTTAACTAGCAAAGGATCGTAGCCACAAAAGGCATACAACTTCATATGTTCATGGCTTGGCTTGGGTTTTATACACAACCTCTTTGATAGTCTCTTCATTCCTATTCGATGTGGGACTCTTGACATTTGTATGAAGACAAGCCAAGAGTCTCATATTGAAAGTGTTTAAGGCAAGCCGAGAGTCCCACATCGAATGGGAATGAAGAGGCATTAGAATCATTGTGTATAAAACCCAAGCCAAGCCTTGTAATTAGAGTTCAATACACCCAAGCCAAGCATTGTAATTATAGATCATTGCACTTACAATGCATGGCAATTAGAGTTCAAATTGTTTTATAAAAAAAAATTAAATAATAATTTTTTTAAAAAAATTTCATTATTATTTAAAATAAATAATAATAATTTAAAACCGGAACCGCTGGTTCCGGGCCCGGTTCCAAAATTGTTGGAACCGGAACCGGGCCCGTAGGCCACGGGCCGGTTCTGGTTCCGAACCGCGGGCCCGGGTTTGACCGGGCCGGTTCCGGGCCAAAACCAGCCCGTGGCCATGTCTATTTCCCGCATCGTCCGCGCGCCGACCCTTCTCCCTCGTTTAAAAAACTCGCCCTCCCGCCCCCACCAGGGCCACCACCCACCGCTCGCTACAAAATCCCCCCTCGCTCTGGATCGAACCACCGCTCCCCACCTTCGTTCCCAAACCCCCCCAAACTCGCACCGAACGGCAAAAAGCCAGCCAAAAAATCCCTCTCCAAAAGCCCTAATCATAATCCCTCATCCGATTCGAATCCGAACTGCGAACAGATAAGGAGGGAGTAACAGTCGGTGGGGGGGAGGGGGGATTCGCGCAAAGTTCACAGAGCACCGAGGCGATTGGTGGCGGGGGCGGGCGGCGCAATAATGTCTGCAGTAGTTTGCGGGAGCAAGCGATCGTTGTTCGACGACATACCGTCTCCCCCCTCGCCTCCTTCTTGCAAGAAGATCCGCCGCTGTCCCCGTCTTCTTCTTCTTCTTCTTCTCCGTCCCCGGTTCGGTTCTCGGCGGCGGCTCACCTCGATCGGCTCCTCCAGCTCTTTCCTCACATGGAACCCCAGGTGCCCTCTCGTGTTCCGAGCCTTTCCCGTAATCCGTTAGGGAACTGTGTCTCTCGTTATCGATTTCTCTTTATGTTTGCTTGTTCGCCTTTAGAATCCATATGGCGTGAAAAACATGTGTAGACTCTGAAGTTAACTAGGGAGCGTTTTCTGGTTCGTTTGTCCTCTACATCGAGGCAGTCTGTGATTGGCATTTAGTGCGGGCAAGGGCGTCGCTGCTGATTCGTGCTCTTCAAACGCAGTTTGATAGTTCTGTCTTGTCCTTTTGGCAATCTCCGGGCTAACAATTCCCGTCTTTTTGGGACCTGCGGTGCCCCTTGTAATCTCGATGGATTTCGTTTTTCAGATTCTTGAGAGAGCGTTGGTAGAATGCGGGGCTGATGATCTAGTAGGCTGCCTGAGCTTTGTTTGGGTCCCGCCGCAGATAGTATGCATGATTTTCTGTAGAACCCAGCGTCGATGCCGACCGAGGTAAATGGTTTTTCTTATGTGCTTTCAGTTCATGCAAACTTAAAACCTGTTTCTCATAACTAACTAGTCAACTGAAGAGGAAAAGGGAAACAGATGGATTCGACCGACATCTGCAATTACGTCCTTCTCCTAGGCAGGGAGATTTTGATCCTCATCAATTATAGTGAGTAAAATAGGTGTTATATGTTGAAATATTTGTGGGGATTCGTAATGGTTTTTGTTTTAATTGCACAGAGGATATGAATCGACATTTTTTCCCCCCCTTTTTTTTTAGGGCTGGAATTTAATATAACTTATTCAGATGGATTTCTTGCCGGGATTTATTCTCCACGCGTTTCCCTTATTGGTCCAATAACATCGAAGTTCCATTGACAGGCGACAGAGATGATGCCGATGCACCTGGTGAGCCATCCGCCGACCTTCCTGTTGATGGTGCAGGGTGGGTGGATGTATTTGTGAAAGAAATGACGAGCGCCACTAGCTTAGAAGATGCCAGAGCTCGTGCCACAAGAGTGCTCGAGTTTTTTGAACAGTCCGTCAGCGGACAAGCTGGGGCAGAGACCGTGAAGAGTCTCCAGAAGGTACCTTTTCAATTCGTCAATGGTTTTTGACACGCTGTGCTTTATTGTATGCTGTTATGTCATGGTGCTCCTTTCGACTATTTGAGGTTTACTTTTAATCGGCTCATGATGAAGCTACATCTGTAATGCTTATCTTGGTAATTGCCAGCAGTTTTGTTTATGTAACTACTCATTGACAATTGGGCTTGTGAGGCTCCAGACATGATCGTTTGGTTTGGTGTTTGTGTTGTCTGCCTCCTAGAAATATCTCTTAGGATGAGAAACAATCATGTGGAATGTCCTTGCTACCCTTTCTAAGCTGAAATGTATCAGATATCAGAAAGTTTGGCTCGTCTTTCTGTACAAAGTATCCCGAATCAATTACTTTTCAACTAAAAGAATAATTTGTGTTTAGTCTCTTCAACCGTAACTTTTTTCCATGTTTTAATTCAAACCATCAAACTTAAATGAGGGAAAGAATAATTTGTCCTCTTGCGCTGATGAGGGCCAGGAGGCGCGACGAAAACACAGTAATGTCTGTTCTTCTCCATTGATTGGTCTAGTAGTTGTGGCAAGTATCTCCTTTATTATGTAATCATGTGGAACTTTAAAATTGGCATGTGATTCTGTTCATTTCTCAGGAAAATATGATGCTGAAGGAGCAAATGGAGGCAGTCCTTCGGGAGAACACAATTCTCAAGCGTGCTGTGGCTATTCAACATGAACGTCAAAAGGAACATGAGGACAAGAATCGTGAGCTGCAACATCTGAAGCAATTAAGACAATAATGCGACTGTAGATGCTAGTTCTTATTTTTGGTATTGATATGATCGTTGCTTTCAGCATAGCTCTATTCCAATTACTTCTTTTGTGTTTTGGGGACGGGTGGAATATCCTGGAGATGTGTATATTGTGTTATTTGATCTGTTTGGTCATATCTTAAGGACGTATCTGTCACTGGCACTGTTTGTCAGACTTTTGTCTCTCATGCGACTTAATGTGATCAAGAGGTTCTCATGCGGTTCACTTGTGGCTACTTTGGTTTCAGGCCATATTTAATGAGCTATGCAACATGTTGGATCCAGGGAAGCCTTCCTTTACTCCTAAGAAAGGAAAGACAAGCGTCATTATGTTTGTCGGTTTACAAGGTACTTAAAGATCTCCTTTAACTTGAGTCGATGTTTGTGAATTTAGTTAATTGAGACATGGATTATCCTTTGTTGTATCCGTGCATATTCTCTTCAAGTGGTTGCAATTTGTTTGGATGCTATGTATACTGCTTATGCTTTGATGTGTGAATAGAATTTTGAAGCATGCGTTATTATGACAGGATCGGGTAAGACGACGACGTGTACCAAGTATGCATATTATCATCAAAAGAAAGGTTGGAAGCCGGCTCTTGTCTGTGCCGATACTTTTAGAGCTGGTGCCTTTGATCAGTTGAAGCAGAATGCCACTAAAGCTAAAATTCCATTTTATGGAAGGTACGTTCTTTCGTGGATTGCATTTTGATCTGCTCCCGTATGCAGACACCTAGTCCCTCAAACAAAATGGCTAGGACTGTCAGATTTCATAAAAGTAAACTTAAGGTCTCCAAGTGCACATGTTTTCATCATGCATAAATTCTTTCTCCTATTGATTAGTTTATCCTTCATTTACTCACGAGTGGGTTTACAGAAGCGAACATTTAGGACTGTCATGTTTCGGTGCAATTTCTTGGCCATCAAATATAAGAGTTCTGTGACAGTTACACGGAATCGGATCCTGTGAAAATTGCCGTTGAAGGTGTGGAAACCTTTAAAAAGGAAAACTGTGATCTCATAATTGTTGACACAAGTGGGCGTCACAAGCAAGAGGCTGCTCTTTTTGAAGAAATGCTTCAAGTTTCTGAAGCAACGGTAGCATATGATCCTTTTTCACATTTACAATTGGTTCTCTGCTTTTTTAAGATTTTAACATGTTGCATGATGTGCTGCAGAAACCAGATTTCATTGTATTCGTTATGGACAGTAGCATTGGTCAAGCTGCATTTGATCAAGCACAGGCATTCAAGCAAAGTGTTCCTGTTGGCGCTGTTATTGTGACTAAGATGGATGGTCATGCAAAGGGAGGTGGTGCTCTTAGTGCGTAAGTGTTATTTTGGTTAAGTCAGAGACATACCATTTCATTTCCCATATTTTCCCTCTTCACAGTTGCCATCATTGAAGTGGTTTTCTAGTATTTGAATGGGGTAATAGAGTGGATTAATGTGCAAAAGGTTTGCAAACGGTTGCATTATGAGACTCTGGAGTTGATTGCTGCTAGCTTGCAGTTGCATATATATGTTGCCTATGTGTATGTGTGTTTCTTTAAATGGCGGCAGCTATGATCCTATTCTTAAGTATAGCTCAGGAATGAATATCACTGGTTATATTCTTCGTTGGATTCTAATCGTTAGATCTTCATACTTTATGGGTTATGTTAATATATGTCAGTTTAGGTGAAAGACTACATAAAGAAACATTTATACTTGTTATAATTGAAAGTGATTATTATTTTCATGGGATTGATGGTGAGATATTCTTTATAGAAAAAAAAATTTAGTTGGGAATCCAGCATAGATAAGTTTTACCCGTTGAAGGTTACTTAAACTCGTGATACTTTCGGAACATAAAAATGCATATTCATCTTCCTTTGGTCTGAGTTTATTTGTTTACATGTGCAGCGTTGCAGCAACGAAAAGTCCTGTGATCTTTATAGGTACTGGGGAACATATGGACGAGTTTGAAGTGTTTGATGTTAAGCCATTTGTTAGCCGGCTATTGGGTAGGTAATTTCATTTGGGTTCTGCCTTTCAATGTGTCTTTATGATATGTATGAGTGTGAGATGCATTCTTTAGTGGTTTAATATTTTGGTGGAAACTACTTTCCACATAGGTCTGCGTGACTGGTCTGGGTTTATGGACAAAATTCACGAAGTGGTGCCTAAAGATCAACAGCCTGAGCTTCTACTAAAGCTTTCTGAAGGGAACTCTACCTTGAGAATTATGTATGAACTGTTTCAGTACATTCTTAAAATGGGTCCAATGGGCCAGGTTTGTATTTCTTCCATCATTGGATATGATGCTTTATCTTATCATTGCATGCTTTTATTTTGAGATTCGTGTAAAGAGAATACTCATGCATGCATGAGAATGCACAAGCATTTACCATGGTTTGGTTCTCTTGAATCAAGGTTTTTTCCATGCTACCGGGGTTCAGCTCGGAATTGATGCCAAAGGGTCAAGAGAAAGAAAGCCAGGCAAAGTTAAAAAGATACATGACCATGATGGACTCAATGACAAACGAAGGCAAGTTATGCTGTAATGTATAGTTTAGCTGTTCATTATTTTGGCTTATGGCTGCAGTGAAGGTTTTAAATTCAAATCCTCACCTCTGAGCCTGATTAAACAAGTTCGATTTGTTCCAGAGCTAGACACTTCCAATCCAAAGATCATGAATGATTCGAGAATCATGCGGATAGCAAAGGGTTCTGGTCGCGACAACAGTGAAGTTATGGAAATTTTGGAAGAGTATAAGCGGCTAGCCAAATTTTGGAGCAATATGAAGGGACTTAAGATTCCGACAAGGGGTGATATGAATATGCCGTCTCGAAACATGAATGCACGACGCATGAGCAGAGTTCTCCCACCGCAGATGCTAAGGCAGATCGGCGGCATGGGTGGTTTACAGAGCTTGATGAAGCAAATGGGTTCTGCAAAGGATATGATGGGTAGGTTCGGAGGGGGCGATTCATGATGGCTGATTTGTCAGGTGCATTATTCAGTTGTAACCTCAGGGCGAAATCAAGTGGCCACAGTTTGACTCCAGTAAGAATTAGACGGGCATTGTTTCCTCGAGTGACAAACCATACAGCCATGATTGGACATGGGAGAGTGAGTTCTGGTGGAAGGGTCGATGCATTTGATTCCCCCATATGATGTGTAACTAGTCAAAATGCTGCCTGGTAAATAGTTACAGGATTTTTGTTCTTTGAGATAGGATAATGGATGAAGAGCAGGTGCATTTTTTTTATATTAAAAGTCAGCTGAAATGCATAACTGAAGTTTTTCTGGGTGTTTCCTTCCTTTTTCGGTTGGATTTCTTGGTTCCATCTCTGATGAATCTTACCTTTAGAGCATCTGGAATGGATGTGTGATGAAGCTGATCAACTGGTTTCTCTTTTATGGCTTAAAGCCACCCTTTCCCACGATCTTTGCTTCTAATTGAGAGTAGGCTTGCTCCGAAGTTCCGCCGCTTGGCAAGAAAAGTTTAATTTGATTTTCTGGGGAAAAAATATCAAAAAAATTAATTTTCTTTTGGGAAAAAACCACCAAAAACCCCAAACTTTACCACCTGTGACACATTTACCCCAAACTTTTTTTTGTGACACCAAAAATCCCGAACTTTGCTTTTTGTGACACATTTACCCCAATGTATTTAGTCCATGGGCATTTTCGTCTTTTTTGCTTTTCTTTTTTTTTTTTTCTTTTTTTTTCCTTTCCGGCGAGGGGGGCCTCACTGGCGTCGGGCGAGGGCTGCCCATCGCCGGATCCGGTGAGGGGGCCCTCGGCGCGTCGAGCGAGGGCGGCCCTCGCGGATCCAGCCGAGGGCGGCCCTCGCAGGCGTCGGCGAGGTTCGCCTCGCACGGGCGAGCGAGGCGGCCCTCGCCCGACTCAGGCGAGGTCGACCCTCGCCGCGTCGGCGAGGGTCGACCTCGCTCGAGCCGGGCGAGGGCCGCCCTCGCTCGCCCAGGCGAGGGCGACCCTCGCCCGACGCCGGCGAGGGCGGCCTCGCCGACGGCGACCCTCGCTCGAGCGGCGAGGGTCGACCTCGCCAGATCGGGCGAGGGCCGCCTCGCTCGCCCGGCGAGGCGGACCTCGCCCGACGCCGGCGAGGGTCGCCCTTGCCGGGCGAGCGAGGCGGCCCTCGCCGTCTCGGCGAGGTCGACCTCGCCCGACCGGCGAGGGTCGACCTCGCTGAGTCGGGCGAGGGCCGCCCTCGCTCGCCCGGGCGAGGGCGAACCTCGCCGA